AAAAAAGTATGTTGTATAAATAATAAGAAAAATATGTGTAAATATTATATATGTTATTATAAAAATATACATCATAATTTTTTATACTCGTGTATATTATGTACAAAAGAAATGAATATGAAGATGTTTAATGTAAATAATGAAATAACCAAATGAATTAATTGAAAATAAATAAAATAATATGAAATAATAATAATAAAATATTAATGAAATAAATAAAATAATATTTAAAATATGATATATTTATGGTTAATCAAAGTGTGTACTATTCGCATATAAAAAATATAATAAATTTAAAAATAAAATAATTAATTTTTTAGAAAATTTTGTGATATAATTGTGTGTGATATATTTAATTAAATCACTAATTTGGCAACAAATAAAAAAAATTTAATTTTATGTGTGTTTAAAAAGACTTTTTATATTTACCATGAATTAAAAATTCACCAGCAGTGACGAATTAAGGAAATGCAATCAATGAGCTATTGAAGAAACTTCGGAACATCACCTTTATTTTTTCCGAGTTTCCACCAAAATTCGATTAAAATTCTTTAAAAATTTTAACTCATTCTAAGTCACGAGCTAACCTTTGTTTCTTCGACTAGAATGAAGAATCTCGTAAAATTCAATAATAACATACGCATCTAAAGTAATACGTATCGTTATAAACCTCCTAAGCTGTTTTGTGTGGTTCCGACCACCCAGCTTTATCTACCTACCGTTGTGAATGTGTCATTTCAAAGAACTTGAAAACTTGCCGCTTTAAGTAAAATAATAATAATCTCTTAAATATATCAAAAAAATTATTTTAATAATGTGGAAGGACTAGCCAAAGTCCTTATATCTTGTTTTTCATCACCACATACTCTCTAAAAAAAAATATGTGTTTCAGTGGAACAATCCTTTTGGAAGTCTAAACTTAAATTCTACTCATTTTTTATTTCTATTTATTCCATTATTATATATATTTTTAAACAAATATAAAAGCAATTGTGAAATTTATAACTTAAAACTAACGGAAAAAGTATGAAAAAGCCTTTGGAATACTGAAAATATATTTCAAATTACAAAAAGTCAACTGGAGTAAAGATCCTATGGCAATATTCAATAAAAATGTTTAGGTATATCGAACAGTATTAAATTACAACAATAAAGTTTTATTATTTTTTCGAACATTAGTGAACTATAATAACAAAAATTCATTTTATATTATTTTAATTAATTGAATTTTTGGCTGACCATACAGCTGTTTTGAGTATTGCCAAATACCCATCATCGCTGGACTTGGAAATAATTCTTGAATTTAAATATTCGTAAATATGAGACTGCAAATGCCAGGAATCGAACTCATGCGCTGCCAAATTTGAAGCTCAAAGTCAGCGCACCTTAACCAACTGACTCAAAGTCGTACTTAACTTTTTATGTTCGCACATTTTTCTGGTGTTATGTTACTGAAGTTTTATTATTTATTAATTCCATTCAGTTAATAAAATTAAATTAATATTTGAAATGCCTTTGTATTGAAAATAACAGTGCATATTAAGAATTTAGTTTCTTTCATAAAAACGAATGTTAAAAATCAATTTAATAAAAATATTTTCCGCACTTTCCTTTAATAAGAGATTGAAGTCCACCTCATTTACATTGTCGCAATCTTTTTAATTAAATCGAAAAGTTTATTTAAGTGATATAAAAGCTTCAAAATTTTAATTTCTAAGCAATCTTGGAAATTACTTAATTTAGACGGAGAATAAAACTTTTACTGCCGGTCTCATATAGTTACATATATATTAATAAAATATTCATTCTCTATAATAGCGAAAAAAAGAGTTCAATGTCAAATTGTGATTAAACGTCTAACAATTCAATACACACAAATATATTTACATATAACATATGTAGTAATAAATAAAAATATGTACTTATTCACATGTAAACAAAAGAAATATATTTACTACTATAAATTTCAGCTTCTGCATTGAAATATAAACAAAAAAAAACATATAACCCAAGGAAGTGAGATAAGAATTTTTTTTATTTATTTTAAAGTAAAATTTTTTTCAATGAACAATACAATAAACTATAAAATTCCTATGCACCTCGCCTACTATACTTATCATTAGTAGTCAGATTTTATACTCCTAAAGAGATATACGTATACGCGCCAAAAATCATATTTTAGTTAAATAATTTAATATATAAAATTCTGTGTAACTTATAAATAAAACTAAGATAATCTTTGTGTAATTAGTAAAAGTGGATTGTACCCTGAAATATTTCAATTACTTCGATTAAACTCAATAGAAATGTGGTTACTAAAATGTCGACATCTATTCGCACTATATTTCCTGGTAATTATTTAAAATTTTTTATATCAAATTATTCATATGCATTTCATAAGATTCAATAACTATAGATTTCGGTGTTCCTCACTGTCAGAGGATTGAAAGAAAATAAAACATCAACAGTTGGCAAAACAACAGATTATGAATATCATGCCACAAATATTTTAGATGATGCGACGAAACGAATGCAGAAAATATGGACTGTAAGACACGATATCTTTGTGAACTTGGCAAAGGGGCGTGGTTACAATCTGATCAATCAAGCGCCCATTAAACATGAAATAGATAATGCTTACCGTAATTTAGTATATGAACTTGCAGCAAATCTAAGTGTTATTCCCGTTACCCAACTCAAGAATCATACCCTCCAACGCCAAGTGCAACGTTTATCAAAACTGCAACTCTTTGGTTTGCGCAAGACCGATTATGAAGAAGCTAAAGACATGCTGCGCATTATGAATGGTTTTCTAACCGCGCATATGGTATGCCATGTACAACATGTCAAAGACTGCTCAAAGCCCGTTGCTATGGTGCCGACAATTTTGCACCACCTCGCACGCACAAAACGATTAGTTGAATTGGACTATTATTGGAGGATGTGGCGAAAAGCGGTCAATGAGCAAGACTTGGCTAAATCTACATTCATTAATTATGTTCGTCTATTTCGCATTGCGGCTAGTTATAATGGTAAATTGAATACTCTTCTCAAATAATGCAACATTTGATTTATATACCTATACATATAATTCATAGAAGTAATTATAATTTAATATTGCATTTATGTTCGATGGCTTCAGAAATTTATAAAAACACAGAACTTATTTTAATTTATTTATTTATCTTTTTATTACACTACAATCATTGTGTTAAATATAACACACTAACATCTTCATGTCTTTATTTCTATACAAAACCATTTCTATTCATCTTCCACAACTCCTCGGACAGAATTCAAATAATTTTTTTAATTAAAGTTAATCCTTAAAATAATTTAGGTATTAAAATCGTAATTTTCTTATTATCCACACAAATGCATCTTGTACTTTCTCCATATATTATTTTATGTAAATGTTTGTAATTCCATCACATAACCATATACCCAGAATTCAGTATCCAATATCCCACTTACACATCCTTTACACCTAATCCAAGTTACGCAAATCTGAACTCATTTTATTTAATTGTCATTATGATGAACATACAAGTAAGCATCCTTACGTGGACTAACACACAAAACATTCCGCTGTTACTTAGCTTAATGTGTATACTGACACGTCCATCATTCCAAAATGCATTAAACGCAACTCATTTGACCAATTAGAGATTGTATTCAAACAGACAGTTACACAATCACCCACCAGACTGCAGTGTAGATTGTTATTAGCAATTAGTTCCTAGCATTTACAAAATTATAAACTAATTTAAACTCATTCGTAAACCTTACGAGGAGTAGTAGATAACCCTACAATGCATCCAACCGAATGTATATCCATATGAAGACACGTACGTAAATAGTCCATAAAACTAATCACAATTTCCAACGTAGCAGTACTTGTGAAAGATTGACACTAACCTATATTTGTTCATGTATGTACTTTTGTATACGCATTCGTCAATAGGTCATGTGACGCCATCCCGCACATGGTATCTCTACTACGACACAGAAAATTTTCAACGTGAGTTGGAAGATGTGGTTTGGGAAATTATGCCATTGTATCAAGAAATGCATGCTTATTTAAGACATGCAATACGCACCGCCTATGGTCAGAGCGTAACCCCGGATGATGGCTGCTTGCCTTCTTCTGTCTTGGAGCAAATCATACAACAAGCTTGGTTACCTCGCACCGTTTTTCATGTACCATATCCGAAAAATCAATTACCGCCGGTACAGCCCCGTCTTGAGGAAGTACTGGTTACTCCTGTTAAAATAAATAAAAAAGCTGCGGAATTCTTTGAATCGCTAGGTCTAAATCATATGTCTGAGTAAGATTTCAGATTTCTCAAAAACATTTTAAATATAAGCACATAATTATTAAAATTTTTATAAATTAGCGCCTTCTACGAAAAATATTCTCGTCGTATCAGCGCAGAAGAAGCAGGCTCAGACTGCAAGTCCGAAGTTTATTATTTTCCACCAGATGTCGCACTACGCTACTGTCCCAACCTGGACTATAAAAAATTGATGCAAATGCATGGTCACATGTCGGAACTGCAATACAATATCTACAAAAAGAACCTACCATTCGGTTTGGATAGAGAGCCATGTCCAGGATTTGGCAGTGCCATTGGTGAAGCATCTGTCATTGCATCGGGCACTCCACGTCACTTACACCGCCTTCATATACTATACAATGAGAGCCTAAGCGAGGAGGAATCGTTGAATCGTGTATTCCGTATGGTGCGCTTTAACTGCATTCAGCAAGTAAATCATTTTAACGTTTTCTTTTGTTTTCCACTCTTTTTTGGATAGGGCGTTCATACCATACTTGCAATTCCGCAATACTTTATCAACGACAAATTTCTTGTTGACGTCATGGATGGACGCATCGGTTCGCATGAGTACAATTGTGCATATTGGCGGTTACAGTACAAATATGCTGGGGTAGCGCCACCAGAACAACGTAGCGAAAAGAATTTCGACCCCGATTACAAATTCTACAAGGGCCTCAATCCAGAAAAATCAAATACAATGTAAGTACTGGTATCACCAGCAGTACGCGTAAGAGAAATTTTTGTAAATAAATAAAACTCGAAAGTAAATATTTTCGAAACATCTCATAAATATTCTTAAATTTCTACAAGTACATAATTTATAGTAATCAGAATTAACCTCGCAATTATTCATGTGCAGCAGTGCTTCTCGATTGCAAGTGACCTTTGATTTTCTGACTTTAAATGGCGCGTTGAATTACACGTACCTGTGAACACATGTCACAATGACAACTGCATTTATTTTTTATAGCCAACATCAATTTCACAACATCAATTTTTGCCTCTGAAACAAAAATAAATTTTTTTTTTAGGAAATTCCTTTCGGAAGTTCTTGGTCATCAATTCAATCGTGCCTTCTGCCTAGCAAGCGGTCAATACCGACCCGGTGATGCCGAGTATCCACTGCATAACTGCGACTTTTATGGCAGCCTTAATGCAGGCAATATGATAAAGTATGCAAGAAAAAAGTGCAAATTAATTGGAAGAGAAGCTTTTTGAGGAAAATTATTTGGAAAATATTGCAATAATTTCTTTTCACCTGTTTGGTTTGCTTACAGACGCATGATGGAGTTGGGTGCTACGAAACATTGGCGTGATATTATGGAAATCGCCACCGGTGAACGAAAATTGAGCGGAAAGGGAGTGATGGAATATTTTGCACCTTTGTTTACTTTTTTAAAGGAGGAAAACAAACGCTTGAATGTCGACGCCGGATGGGATGCAGATATAAGTAAGTTGATGTCAATTATAACGATACCTGAGACGTTCCCAATAAATGTAAAATAAGTGGTTTAATGTTACGTTTAACAACATCATGAAAGTCCAACGATGAGAGTTGAAAATATTGATAAAGTTATTGATGAAATATTATACAAATTCGTAGAGTTTATAGCGTTGATGTATGTATATATAACATTTCAGGTAGTATGTACCTATATAACTTTTAAGGTAGTTCAAAAGAAAAACATAGAGTCTGTAAGTTTTCTTCTAAAGTAATAAAGTTTGTTATTAATCATATGTATAGGTGAGTAAATAGTAATTAATTTTCAGCAAAAATAAAGTTTAATATTTTTTTTGCTCTATTAAACTTTCATTTAATTTTTCATGTAACACAAATTTTTCATTTATTTCTTTTGAAAAGTATCTGCTCTTAAGCAATAAAAATATAGCTTTAGATATATTGAAGTTTACAGCAAAAAATGAATTTCAATAACAGCCTTTGATTTATTTTTTATAATAAAATATCAACTCATTAAAGTCACTAAGCTATCTCTCGGGCTAGAGTCTGAATAGTTATACGTTCAGGCCTGTACGTTCAGGTCAGATAAAATGGTAAATAGACTATAATCTTGTTTGCAATTCAATCATATCATGATGCATTAATAATGAGTAGACATATGTAACCATATGGTTATCCGATTTATTTCAGTGGCGCTTCAACCATATAAGTCCCGTCTTCATATTGAATATTTGTACTTAGCATTGAACGATTGATAAGTTGAATACCAGTAAATTTGGAAAAAAATAACACTAACATAAACAGCTGAGAACCCACTTATACATTTTGTAAATGCAAACATTTTATTTAGGGTACCTTAATTAAATTTTTTTTTAGGGTACCTTAATTAAAATTTTTTAAAAATATTTTATTATTATTAATTTATTATATTTATTTTTTTGTTTATTTTTTTTTTATTTCTTTATAGATTGCAGCAATGATTGAAAATCCCTAATACTCACTTTAAGAACAGAACTTAAAATAGTACTAGTTTTATAAAGAATAGATTTTTAATAAAAAATACTGTAATTTTATTAAAAATAAAATTATAAATTATTTATAACTGATATTTTTCATACATTATTAAATAACTAAATTATTTTCATATATACAATATTGTGAAAATGGACAATATAGTTGACAGATATCATTAGTCTGTAACTTATAACTTCTTTATAACTAATGGCAGGGAATCATTTTATGAAAAAATTTAAGCAGTTATAAGACCTCTCCTTAAATAGAGGTAAACTTAATTTTCACATAGCTTTACACTCTTTGAATTTTATGTAGTAACACAATGGAATAATAGGCTTAAGTGTATTTCTCGGATAATCGTTAAAACCTGTTGATTGTTCAAAATAATATATATATATATATATATATATATATGTATATATATATATATATGTATAAATTCATAACATAAACTATTGTATCAAAACGGAGGTTTTTATCGAACAGTAGTGATATTGCAACAAGCTTTATTTATATTCATATTTTAATATTCAAGAAGGGAGAGATTATCAATTAAATATATATCAATAATATTTAAACTTCAAAGTTCAAATGCAAAAATATTACATTAAATTATAATAATAAAACCATATAATAATATGGTTATATTTTGATTTTATTGTGTTATTTTTATTGGATACTAAAGTTTACAATATATTATATAACTCAAAAAAATTTATTTTATGACATAGTTAGGTGACCCTATTATGTATATTGCAGATCCTAGGGTTATGGTATTGTTTTATCCAATTTATATTTTTTTTCGAATTTTGGGAGTGAACTCTATAGAAATTTTAACACACATTGTATGCATGATCTAGTCCATCTTTGACTGCTATTACTAAGCATCAAATCAATATTGTATTATGGATGCGAAACGGTGGCTGCAGCGCATATCCAATACTAATCTTTGGGAACGCACGAAACAATTACAAGCTGCCACTGAAATCAAAAGAAGAAAATGCAAGTGGAGTGCAACCCACAAGGCAGCCTCTGACCAGGAACTCCAGCTAAGAGATGGCAAAGAACTGTAGACCAAGACTCACAGTCGTCCTGGAACCAAATTACGAGAGAAGCACGCAACAGAGTAAGAAATCGTTGGGGCTATATGATCCACTAGAGAGAAGGGCAGCAGTAAGTAAGTACTAAGCAGTCAACATAGCCTTAGTATATATGAACTTTCAAAGCTAAGAAACTTTTCAAGCAATGAATTTAAGTAACCCAAACAATCCGGAGGCAATACTTTAGTTATTTTCAATACACTGTACTGGGTAGACTTCACAACTGGTATTCAAAATATTTGTACATGAAATTCATTGGTAATGAAATAGATTTGTTTTAATTTGACGATAACGAGCTTTATTATGCCATTAAACTTTATTTTACTGCCAAAATATCTAACAGGTTCATATTTCATAAAATCACACCCAGTGTCAAAAGTAATAAATAAAATTCCTTTGTGAAAGGAAAAAAATTCGCAAAATGTTTCAAGAGAAAAAATAAAACTTTTGCTTTTCTTATGCGGAAAATTTTAACATTTTACCGGTATACCCTCAAGCTGAACCTACCTCAACCCTCAATCCACAATCCTCAACCCTTAGCTCACTTTGACTGAAGCATTAAGCACGAAAACACAAATTACTGCAAGGCAGCAGGGCAGCAAGGCTGGCAGTGAAGAATGAGCAGTAAATTTGTGCTTTCACTGAAAGGCCTTTTTGTTTATTTGTCTATTTATTCACTTTTTCCTTGATAACCTTTGCATTCAAAATTTTTGTGAAGCTAAGTTCCTGGCATTCAAATGGTTAAGGATAGAACGTTTTTAGTTAAAAATTTGCTGCCGATGATTTTGGCAAATTAAATGAGCTTAAAATGGAAAAAAGCAACATTACTGCAAAAGTGATTTTGCACATCTCCGCAGCTACGAATACATAGACCCGATACCATAATATCTTCAAAATCGATTCACTTTTAAAATGGGAAACCCAAAGTTTTATGGATAAACGCAAAGTTTATAATATCTTTATGAACTCTGCATTAATGGACAATTAAAATTTAAAAAAAAACCATTTAAAAACATTTTTAAAATGTTTAAAGAATATAAAATGTAAAATTTTTTCTGGAAAGTATCCGGCTTATTCAGTTAACTTCTTCTATTCAGTCCAAAGAAACTTTGAGGTGCTAGCAACTTTTTTATTCTTATTATTAACAATTAAACTATTCGTGAAGTTTTTTAAGGTTTTTTGTAATTTATTATAATAGTCAATATTTTCCATTAGCTAATTTTAATAATGTTATATATTCTGTAAATTAAACATTCTGCTCGAAAAATATTTGTATAATTTAAAAAAAACTTTGAAGAATTAAAATTGAGGTTGATAAATATAAATTATTGTATTTACATTAATTCAAACATTTTCTCACCAAACATGTCTAGATGGTTATTAAAAAATATATAAACATTATGGAATCATTTCATCTATAAGCTCAACCGTCTGGTGGAATAGTGTATAACTGATTTTGTTCTTAGAATTGCATAAATATGGTCATCTTTAGTGTTTTTGAACAATTTTCCTTATTCCTTATTTAATCTTCCTTATCTGTAGTTATTTAGTCAAATGTAACACAAATATCATGAGGTGTATATCACAGAAATCTTTCCTACATCTAAAACTCTAATAACAACCCACAAAAAATCACTTTGGAATAAATGAGATTACTATAGAATCACGAAAACAGTTGGCAGCCTCATTAAATGCTTTATATAAAAATTTTTAAAATTTTGAAAAATTCATTCTGACCCCTCAATGACTTTACAAGACATAGTGAATACCCATAATAGGTGGTAATTGAAAATTTAGGTTTCAATTACCACAGGATCTATTGATTGCAAAAGAGATGTTTTATTGAGTGGCACCTAAATATCCTTGATATTCATATTAATGTTATAGAAACCAGTTTTGTATAAGAAGAGCCATGGACTTACGCAATTATAATCAGTTAACATTTCCGTTAACCGAGAGTTAGCACCACCATCGGCGTATATTAGGCACCAGCATTGAATCGGCGATTGAGTCGAAAAATACATTAAAGATCGTGCTCTGAAACTGTTCAATATAATTGACAGTCACAATAATCCAACACTCCGCATCCTAAAAATATCCATCATATTATAAATCCCCGTTTTCAGTTATTCTTAGTGTGACTTAAAGCAGTCCACAGATAAAATAGAGTAAAGGTGCTGATTCACCAACTCAGAGATCTGAATATCAAGATATCAAGAAAAAAACAACCAATCGATCAAGTGGAGCAATTAACGTTGTGCTATTATTAATTTTTTCCACATTTTGTGAGTGGCTCCTAATTATGATAGTTAATAAGTTTATCACATTTGTTTGTACATTTAAACCATATGCAACACTGGAGTGAAATCTATTCGAAATGTGAGATTCAAAGGCAGTCCAAATACTCGTTTGACAAAAGGAGAAGAACAATGTCTTAAGAAATTAAAAGCAAGTGTTCTGACGCTTAATTGCAATTCCTTTGTAAATTCACTCTTTTTAAATTTATAATAGTTTTTCAATGTAGATATATATTTCTACATATGTACGTACATTTTAATAAAGAGCATATGAAGCAATTTCATTTCTAAAGCAACCGAAATCAACTTAATAAATGCAGCTAAAAATCATTTTAAAAAGTTTGTGATCTGAAATGTAAGCCGAAGACCAAAATAATTTGAGTTTTGTTTAATTTTGTGCAAGGAACACAAACATAAAATCATTAAATTTTGATTAATAAACTTTTGCTAAATATTTTGGTTTAGAATTTATTTGCAGTTTATGAAACTAGTTTACATATCCTTTTTACTTAACTTTCTCGTCATTATGCATACCGAAAGCTGAAAGTAGAGAGCTGAAATTGCTCCATAACTTATTTTTTCCGGCAAACAACTGAAGTTTATTAAAACTGGCCATTCTGGCAGTTGCTGACCAAAAGGAATGACCGAGCATTTCGTTGCAGGACGGCTCATATGCGTGCACACATGTGGTTGTGCTCAAGTATGTTGTTCATGCACCGGACACGTCTGCCAGTACAGGGTATATGCGTTATGGAGTAGTCTTCTAGGTTGGAACGACACTTGCGTTGTGGCTCGGTTTTAATTGCTGAATTCCCATTAAAGTTTAATTTATCGTTTCAATTTGAAGGCACACACTTTCATGGCAGACGAGCTGACTAATGGATTTGTTGTACAATTTCCGGCTTAAATGCAAACAGATTTTGAGTCCATAAACCGTTTTTTCTCTTTTTTGTTTGGTTTTGTTTTAAGAACCAACTTTTTCATATCGAATGTTGAAAGAAAAACCATTGAAACCTTCAAAAATAATTCAAAGTAAATATTGTACATACGTCATGAAATCGGGCATGCAGTGGAAAAGCTCCGCTCAGTTCACAAATCCGCTTACCGATATGCGCGTCCTGTGCACAGAACACAGAACAATGAACAGTCGCAGATATTTTTCTTTATTTCATTAATATTTTAAGCAAAAGTGCAAAATTCATAAAAATTTGCACACTAACTGTTGAGAATAGAAAGGCAAATTGCTTATGAGTAAATTCCTGACAGCCATTTTGGTAAGACTTTTCAGCAGTTGTTTACACTTCGGAGGACTTTTTGCAAGCCCAGTCAAGCTGAGTCTTCCTCCACACTTTCCAAGTTGCTCCTTTGAATATTTGCATGTGTTTCCTTTTTGTGGGGATATGTGAGTTTGTGTGGAAATGTGCTGGTTTGTCTCTGAATGCATAGGAAATTTGCGGCAGTTTTTGCTGACGTAGCGTGTTTTAATGAAAGCAAAATTGTTTTTCCCTCCCCTCACGCTTCCATTTTGTTTTTGCAAGGATTTCATATTATTTCTGCTTTTTTGACACGTTGCAGAAATGTATATTTAGTCGAGATGAACAATACATGGGATTATTCCCAAATTTATTGCAATTCCATGAAG